GAGCCAGTCTCTCTCCCCTACTGCAACCCCCCATTTCAGTACTCCCTATATCTATCATTATAATCCTGAATTAAGTCTGCCTTACCATGCTTTAGCAAGTTGTGTGGATTGAATGTCACCCAAAAACTCATTGAAGCTTGACTCCCATTATAACAATGCTAAGAGGGTGATAATTCTGAATATTGTATTTGAAAGGTGGGGCATTTAAGAAGTAATTAGACTGTGAGGACTGTGCCATTGTGAATGGATTGATCCATTCATGGCGTAATGGGTATGGTTCTGATGGCTTTATATGGAGGGCAAGAGAAAAAGCTGGCTCTCTCTTGCTCATGCCCATTTTTCTCACCATGTGATACCCTGTGATGCTGTAGGGAGTCACCACTGAGAAGTCCCTCACCAGATGTGCCATCTAGGCCATGGGCCTCCCAGCCTCCAAACTGTAAAAACTAAATATCATTTCTTTATAAATTACTTAGTTTCAGGTATTCTGTTACAAGTAACAGAAATGGACTAATACAGCAAGTGCCACTGAGTAATTTTTTCTTTGACATTACCCTTGTCCCTGGGAACATTGCCTTAATGAACCCCTTTTCCATATATTCTTGTCTCGGGGTCTCTACATCTGGAGAACCAAATTTAAGACAGACAGTGATTAAGACAGTGCAAGTTATTAAGATAGCCCAGGAAAGGTGTGTAAAATAAGAAAAGGGGCAGCCTAAGATGAAATGCTGAACGAACTACTATTTACGAGAAAAAAGAGCTCAGGAATTAATCTGAAGGAAAGAAGAGGCAGAAATGTTTTGGGGGTGGGTGAGGTATAGAGAATGTAGGATCAGACATGGAAACCAACATCAAGAATTTCAGGTCAAGAGTATGAACTAATATATAGAGAAGTCAAGTTTCTTAAGGATTGAAAGGATCTATTAGATATAGCAAAAAAGAGGCTGTATTAAACCCAAGTAAAGATTGAGCATTTTTGATATTTTAGAAAACACAAACTGGTGGTAACATATATTCATTTTTTTGAAAGGCATTTTTTAGCATCTACTATGGCACAAGCCCTGTGCTAGTGCTACAGGGGGCACTGAATGGCAGTCTCTGCCACAGTGGGGCTGATGGTCTAGTTACAGTCTGGTGTGAAAAGTGTTACAACAGCAGTAAGTGAAAATCATTACGGGTGCAAAAAGAAGACTCAAAATATGCTAATTCATTTTTTTTTTCAATTTGTTAATGACTCCACAATCTTTTATACAGTTATTTTTATTTATATATTTTATTTAATGTAATTTCCTCCTACAATTTTTTTAGCAGTGTTAAGTATGCATGTATGTTCATGGAGGATGAAGTAAGTTAAACAGTATACTTGGAAGTAACAGAAAAGAGCCACTTCTTCATTGTGTGGATATCACTTATTTTCTTGTTTATTTACACATTTATTTTTATTTTTAGGAAAAAAAAATTTTCACCACCTGATGAAACAAATAAAATCTTTTCTGTTATTAGCATTTGTTTTATGAATAGTTTATTTCTTTATCTGCAAATTCATTTGGCACTAATGGCTGGTCTGGTGAATAGATTAACAGTTCATCAGTACACTACATCTGTGTCTGGCTCTGTGTGGTTAAGCATAATAGCTTGGGAAAATTAACTGGAAAAAGCAACAGCAAGTTGCTTTTTTCCTGCTTGCCTCCAAATCTGCAGTGAAGACTGGCTATAATACAGTCCCTGCTAAAATTTTCATAGTAATCTACTTATTACTGAGGGATTCTGCATTTTGGTGAGCTATAAAGATAACATTATCTCTTCATTGTTTCTTGTCTTGTAATTTTGTAGCCAGGGCAGTCAATGAATGTTAATATCTGCCTTTGTTTACTTAACTATTAGAAACTCATTTCTTCTGAGTGAGACTACTGAAATTCTGCAACTATTAATTCCAAGTAGCCAAATGAGATACAGAAAGAAAATGCACAGTACTTTTCCATCTACTGACCCCCATCTTGCTCCTTGGTTATAAATCTGGACTTGTCCTTATTGGAGTCAAGTCCAATTTCTCTCAAACACTGCAAGACCTGGTTGTAGTGGTCCCATCACCATGCCCCCTCTTGAATAAGGAGATCCCATCACCATGCCACCTCTTGTCTTAACATATATAGCAAGTTTCACAAATATTTTTTTCTTTAAACAGCTAACAAGCAAACAAACAAAACCACTGCGACCTGTGTGACCTGATTACTGTCTTAAGGAGTTTCAAACTTCAGAAATAGGTGTAAATATTTGTTTAAATAAGAGAAATATTTTGGGCCAGCCGGTTCTCAGTAGGTTACTGGTAACATCAAGGTCTAGGGTTCCATCCCTGTACACATACAGAATAAAACATTAAAAAAAAAATAAGAGAAATATTTTAATGAGTTCAAAATATAGATAAAAAACAGCAAATACAGATTAAACAATGTTTGTTTCAAAAATGTTATGTTTATTGTCTAATACATCAGTATTAAAACTCAGTTACATTTCCTCTATTTGTACTGCATAATTATCACAACCATTTACAATTATTCGCAGTTTAACTGAGATAAATATTGTAATTATGTAGACTTCATTACATGAATATTTAAGAAACAATTTTCTTCTCAGAGTTGTAAAATTTTATATTACCTTTATTTATGGTTTTAATTTTACTTTTTCTGTTTCATTTCCGGATTCAAGGAAGGATATTAAATTATTTCGTTATAACTTAGAGTCATATTGCTAAATATTTAAGATGTATATTTAAAAACTTTAGCCAAGACCAAAATTTCCCCCCAATTTATAACTCAGTGATTAATATTTAGACACCATGTTTCTTTCCTTTATGCAGTTTTTGGTATCATCTTTTTCTATATCATTTCATTTCACAAAACTCATTCTTGCTTTTCATGGCTGAGAATCGAAACACGTACAAACTTCAATTTTGTTATAAGCGTTAAAATTTACGAACATTTTAGGTACTCCAGTAAAACCTCAGTCATTGGCAGAACAGCATTCCCCAGATCCGGAAATAAGGGAATTAGGATTATGCGTGACAATGGGCAAGCTAATTTATTACTTAATAGCAGCCACTGGGAGCGAGCTACAACATCTTTAAATCTTAAGTTCTGTGTAACTACGTTATCTTTTATCTTCCAGCTGTGAAATTTTAAGTCCATGATGTAATACTAATGATAAGCAAATTAGCAACGGGATTGCAAGGTTTTTAAGGTCTAGTGCTGTAGAACAAAAGGCAGTAATTTGAAAAAGGCTGTTCATAACGTTTTTGTTTGCGGTTTGCCTGTAAAATTGCAATTGCGTAGTTTATTAAAAACAGAGAACTGGAAGGAAGGCCCAGAAATTATTTCAGCAATCAGCAACAATTAATTTAAACGTAGTGCATAAATTTTCTATTTACCGAAAAGAATAACAAATTTTGCTAATGAGTAGGACACACTCTTGAACTGTTAAGTGGTTTCTCAGACAGCCATTTACGGAGTATCTGGCCGGATCTTTGAGCATGCCAGCAAAGCACACACGAACTCTCCTTTGCCTTTTTCCCTTTGCAAAGCGAAACAAGCTAGACGTGTACACGTGATGGGAGTGACGTCAGCCCCCACCAGGTCGCGTGACCGACACCCAACCTTCCTGCTGCCCCATCCGCGCCGCTGGAGCGGGTATTCTCGCGAGAACCCGCCTTACTATCAGAACTTATTGAGGTTACGGGGGAGTTACTCGGAAGAGAAGGGCAGGTGTGGTCGAGTGGTGGAGTTTTTGCTTTCGTTCTGTTAACATTCGTGGCCGAAGCAAAGGCCTTTGGGGATTGCCAGAGTCTAAGCAACTCAGCGTGGAAAACAGCGGGGGAGGTGGCCAGAAAGGTGGCAGTCAAATCTGAAGTGAAACGTGGCGCACGGGCCGTCGCCCTTGGCTGAAGGGACTACGGGGAGGGAGAAAACCCGCGTCCGGTCCCGCGGCGCGGATAATGCGGCTTCGGTTGGGTTTGGCCCCGGTAGTCACTGGAGGCTGTGGGAGGTTGGGACGCTTCTCTGGAAGCAGTCAACTGCCCACATCCGGCCCCTTCCCTGTCAACACTGAACGGAGCCGAGCTGAAATGGTTGCGCTCGTTTACACTGGGCACCATGGCCCGGGAACCGGCCTAGAGCGGTCCCTAGAGCCCAGCGCCCGAAACGGGTGGGGGGCACCAGCGATCCCGGGTGGTAGCCCCGGGCCATCCACGAGTTGTCCCCCATCTTCCCGCTCAATCAGCCCCAGATTTGGGCAGGATCCTTTCTGCTGGTTTAAATAGGTAATTTTGACATCTCGCTTCATTCACCTAAACCCTTTTCAGGCTTCTCCCCCGCACATCCTCTTCCACCCACCTGGTTTCTTCCCAGACGGGTGTGCTTGTGTGTGAGACCGAGGGAGGGAGGGAGAGATCCACGAAGGGAGAGGGTTGGAGTCGCTAGAGGGAGGTGTGGGACCAGCTAGGGGGCTTCGCGAGGGAGGGGGTGCCGGCAGGCGGAGGGAGAGGCGGGAGGAGGTGCTGGGGGAGGAGACGGAGGCCTGGGGACGGTAGACGGGGCTTCGCTCGAGCCGAGCGCTCTTTCTTTCGCTGCGTCGTCTGGAAGTCGCGCGGGCTCGAGGGGAGCCCGAGGCCGCCGAGGTGCCCGGCCCCGCCAGCACCGGTGCTG